CAAAGCCACTGGAGAATGCAACAATGGTAGGTCCAGGCTGGATGGTGAACCCGCAAGCCACTCAGGGCCACAGCCGGCTTCTCTTTGTCGCCCTGGTTGGGGCAGCTATTGTCGAAGCACCACAGCAGCGAGAAGCGTGCGTTTTCCGTCGTCGTTTGGACTGGAACGTTCACAAGCAGATACTGTTGCTGGAAGGCCAATTCAAAAGATGCTACCGCATGGAAGCTTCGTCTTTTGAGCTGTTGCTATCGTTGATTAGGCCCACTCTAGCCCGTGACGAGATGAAGTCGACGAATCGAACAGGAACCGACCAATTACAGCCTGAGAACATGCTACAAATGACACTTTCTTGGCTAGCAGGAGGCAACTACATGACTATTCGTGGTTTGGCTGGCATGTCTCCCTCTGGAATCTATGGATGCATGCATGCTGTTATGGACGCCATGTGCCACTGTCCTGAGCTGCGCATTCATTCTCCAACGGAGTCACAAGAACGCATCCACGACCTTGCCGAGAGCTTTACAAACATCAGTAAAGATGGCGTTTTGACGGGTTGTGTCGGGTGCATTGATGGGTAGCTGTGCCATATTCGCGCCCCAAGCCCTTACGAGGTTCCAGATGAAGCTGCTTTCTTCTCGGGTCATTATCAGAAGTTCGGAGTCAATGTTCAAGCCATTTGTGACGCGTTCTCCCGCTTCACATGCTATTGCATGAATTTCCCAGGGAAGGTCGGTGATTCAATTGCGTAGAAGAAGTGGTCGCTCAGCAAGGAGATCATACAGCTTCCAGTTGGGTTTTATTTAGTTGGCGACAACGCGTACCCGTTGTCCGACTCTCTGCTCGTACCATTCAACAAGTTGGAGCTCAAAAGCCGAAAGCACTCCGACTTCAATTTCTATCTGAACCAATTGCGCATTCGGATTGAAATGGCTTTCGGTCTGTTGGTCAACAAGTGGGGTATCTTCAAGCGCTCTTTGGTTGTGGATTTTGTGAACGTGAAGAAGGTGATCAAGACGTGCATGAAGCTGCCTAACTTCTGCATTGACGAGAGAATTAAAAATGAAGAGAGCGCAAAGAGACTTCAAGTTGTGTCGATGGAGTACCACAATTTGCCCGAGAGCGAGTATCAGCCGACAGACAATTCTGAATCTACTGTTGGCTTACGTAATGACGCTCAGGGGCGCATTCTTCGTGAAGTGGTTGTCGATCATATTCAGTGTTGTGGGCTCCAGCGGCCCAAACGTCGGCACAGCTAGCGTAACCCGTTGATGATGTCGGACTCCAGCTCGTTGATGTTTGATTCCAGCATCTTCTTCTTTTCCAAGCATTCAGCAAGTGCGTGGCCAACTTCTGCTGCATCAAGGCCTTGCTCAACGTACAGTCGCCTTTGTTCCAGCAATTCTTGCGCCATGGACGCGTTACGTGCCAGCATTGCAGACAGCGTAGAAAGCTTTTGGATACGCACAATGTATCCGCGGTGAATTGCGACGAGGAGTGGATCGACACATCCAGTGGCACTAGTTCGCATTCGTCATAGTCGAAAGAGAGTCGTTCCGAGAGGTCAGGATCTCTGCAGAGGGCTTCGTCTGGCGAGACCAAAGAATAGGTGGGTGATGTCGCTCCCTCTCTTGAGAGAACTGAATTTGCATCGTGGAAAAGGCTGGAGGACTACCTGCGAGCTTACGAGCAGAGGACGTTCCAGGTATACAAGCAGCATTTCATTAATCTGCACGAGCTGCGCGGAACCCGCTGAACTGAAGAATCAAAAAGACCTCATTCCAGTGAACTGCAATGGTAATCACTGGTGCTCGGTTATGCTCAAAGTTGATGGCGGTTTCATGAACGTTAAGAATATCGGACGGCTGATACACAGCAAAATCTCTCCAGAAGTCAACAACAAACTCAGCGTGAGTTTGCTCGAGGTCTTCCGTGCTCTTCTTTACCGTTTGGGGCTTCTGAGATGTAAACCCGTGGTTAAAAAAAAAACAAAATTTTGTTAATTTAGAAAAATACATGATAAAATTTAAAAAAGTACAATTTCCGGGTAGCGAGACGTTCGCACATACGTTGCAGCGCCATTAGTCGGCTCCCCTTGTCCACTATGTAGTTGGTTACCCAATAAGGCTCAATTTGCCACTTGTATTCTATAATCCGTCGCGTAGTAAGAGCCTAAGCCGTTCTTAACGTGGATTGCGATCCAAGAGATCGCAAGATGAAGAGGTGTCAATAATGAAGATCGCAATCCGGCCATCTTAACGAGATTGCGATCCAGTAGCGAGATTGTATCAAACATGTGGTACCATTGTGTGAAGTTGCAGTTGCCGGCCCACAAGCAAAAGCAACATGGCCGCTCCCGGACCGAGCTCGAAGTGGGCCGTGGCCGCACCGCTCGACTCGCGCAAACGCACCATACGTCCACCGACCTCCGACAGCTACGGGGACTGGACTCTGGATCAACTCAAGCTTGTGTGTACGGCGCGAAAGCTTAATGTTGTGAAGAACACTCGCAACAAGACCGTGTTGATCTACTAAAAGCATGGGACTCAAACAGAGAAGCCGTTCAAGCTCTGGTTGTTCGTCAACGCAAGCGATCCAAAGGGGTTAGTGAAGAAGAGGAGAGACGCAGCGCCGGCTGTATGTTTCGGCTCATTAACGTACTCTTCTCTGATCGGTTTTTCGACTCGTTCCTGACGTCCGGAAATTTGCTCCCGCGTGACGTCCTCGATGACGGAGGCTCCACCTTTTGGTTTGATGTGGCAAATGCATTTGCCTCAGATACCACTGAGTACGACACATTGATCTCGGGCGACGCTGTTTTGAAGACATCGACACCTCCTCGCACATGGCACATTCGACAGCCAAGTTGAATAGGATGTGGAAGGAGGTTAGCAGCCACTTTGCGAGAGCTGAAGCTGGTTCAAAGGTGTCAGGACAAGGCAGCGCTGACTTTTGGGACTTTTGCGATGGTCGAGCCGACGTGTACTTTTTGGACAGGTGGTGTGAGCACCGTCAAGCTGGACGTGAGTTCTGCTCTGCCAACTTGTATCCCGAAGACGAGGACGACTCCACCCAAGAAGGTAACAATCGACAACCAACGTCCCACAATCGCAAGCGTCAAAAGCGGGACCAGACGGCTGTGTTCAATGCTCTACTCGACAAAATT